CTCGATGGTGATGTTCCTCTCTTCTCTGCCACGGGGCTGGTGACCTGTTCACAGGATGTGAAGTCATGGAGGAACATCTTTGCCGTCATGAGCATCTCCTGTTCATAAATAGCCAACCGACGGCGGAAGCTTTCACTGCTCCCAAAATAACTTTGGATCCCAGCACGGGCATTTCCAAGAACAGATTTTTATGCTTCCAAGAATTCCGTGAAAGTGCTGGTCGTCTGGTTTGTATGCCTTCCACAGAGAGCTCCCTGAACCTGGCCACGCAAACTGCTCTGACCCTGACCCTGACCCAGCCCAGGCCCTGACCTTGGCCACGGACCAGGGACACTGACTGGTCTAGTGTCCAGGTAAGGAAGTATCATAGAATTAGTTGCAAGGATGGCCACTCTGATGCTGATTCATCCCGACCCGACATTAGGATGTTCTGGATACGTAACTCCCGTCCTTCTATTGGAAGAGGATTTCCTCCTCGTAGGGAACTTGGGGTTGACGCCTCAATATCGACTTCAGGGCTGGAAGGAGACTAGAAGCCAATCAATCCCATCTCCTTAGCCAGTGATAGGGAGTCCTAGCATGTGTGAGTCAAACCCAGGGAGGGCCTGTGGCTTCTGGAATGAGAATCCAGTCTCCCTGCTTCACTATTCTGTTAGCAATGAGTATCCGGGGTGGGCTGGTCCTTCAAAAAGTTCATGCGAAATGCACGCTATGCAAAATCTACGCACGGATGTCCATTTTTTATTTGTACCTTAGTTCCATTGTCCTGCAAGCTCTTTGAGATCCCCACATACTACTGCAGCTATGGCTGGACCCCTCCATGGCACCAAGGGACACAGGCTGAAGCCTCAGGAGAAGCCCTTTGAGTGGCAGAGGGGAGAGACAGGAGAACCTAGGGCTGGTGCTGTTACCAAGGCCCGGAATCGACCAGCCCTGAAGCCGGCCTTGCTTCTTGATGGTGAGGTGACATGCCAGTTTCCACCCTCCAAGCTGGGAATTTGTGACCCCAGATGGGAGCAACCTACGCAAGCCCCTGCCCCTCCTGCCCTGCCCCAGCCCTGTACTGCAGTGAGCCCTGTCTGGTGGTGGGGATGGAGGGTGGGACAGCCTCACATGCAGGACCACGGCCTCTTCCAGGCAGGACTTCATCTTCAGCGAGACAAGCACACACCCAGATAATTACGCGAGTTGCCGCTGGAAAAGCTGTCGTTAATTTTGATGGCAATAAACAGCCTCGCCAGCGTGTTATGCTGATTTCATGAAAGCACTGGGAGGGAGGTCGTGGGCTGGATCCCGGATTATTAATAATGTCGAGCTTCATTGGAACCATTCAGGAAATTCCTCCCGGTGGCCCCCAGCCAACTGCCACAGGTTGCTACATTTCTCTGAAATCAACATTCTTTCCATAGGCAAATGTGGATTTTGTTGTTGTTGTTGTTTTTCCCTAGAAAATAATTAAAGTCACAGAGCCCAATAAATACTTAAACCGAATGTGGGTTTAATTAAAAACCTCTGTCAAGTCTGCAGCTGCAGGCCTCTCTTCCCTAACAGGCATGCTAGTGACAGTCACAGCAACCTGTACACTAGGGGTGTGCATGTGTGTGCATGTGTGGGGGGTTGGCAGAGAGCGATCTAGAGGCCAAGCCAAGGTCCTCCCTGTGACAGCGGCAGGACAGAGGCTGGAGAGGTGTGTGCATCCTGACTCAGCGTCCCTGCATGCAATCTGACACAGCAATAATAAGCCAGCCTTTTTTTTCTCTAACCACTAGAGGCCTGGTGGTTAAGGTGGCTGGATCTCACATGGCCAATGGTGCAGTTCACGGCCAGGACCTGTTGGTTCGAAAAACATGCTGGGAATTAGTGTGTGCATACCCAAAATTCCAAGAGGAGAATGGAGGAGAAGCGATTAGGTGTGGCCGTCCCTCCTGAGGGGTGATTTCTCTCTCTCTCCAGTGAATGCACCCACCCTCTAGCAACTAAAAAAAGAAGGAGAAGAAAAGAAAAACATGTAAATGAGCTTATTTACTAAGTACTAAGAGCCAGGTACTTTGCATGTATTGATACATTTAATCCTCAGAGTGACTCAAAAACACAAGTATTCTTATGTAGGCCCTTTTTCCCTGAGGCACAGAGAGGTTAAGTAACTTGGTCAAGGTCACACAGCCAGTACATGATGGAGTCTGCAGCTGGAAGCTGTCCTGTTAACCACTGCATAGAGTGTAGTTGAGGAAAAAAGTGGCCGAAGTGTGTGGGGCAGAGCACACGGGGCCTGGCTTCCTGAAGAAGTCACCTTTCTGCTAGAATTGGAAGGGAAAGCAGCTGAGGGCGGTGTGTGTGTAACACTGCCTGTAGCAGAGGCTCAAAGGCGGCAAGCTGTGAAGGTCCAGGAGTTTCTGGCTGGAGGGAGGGAAGGCCTCCAGAGCAGGCTACGCTGGGGTGTCTGGTGCCCACCTGGCCCCGGCTCTTATTTCTACCCAGAGAACACTTACACGGCTCCAGGCAAGTGGTCAGGTCGTTCCCAAGCCCGGTAAAAATACAAGAGGGGGGGGGGCTCCCATGTAGTCGACCGTGGTTCGAGTCCCGGACATGGTGGCTTGAACTCACGCCGGGCATGTGTGCATGCGTGCCCAGGATCCCGAGAGGAGAATGGAGGCTCTGTCTTTCTGGCGAGCGCCTGCGCCCTATAGCAAAAACCTCTCCCAAAAATAAATAAATAAATAAAATACAAGAGCATGGGGACCAGCAGATGGCGTAATGTCCAACACTTTGGAGCCTGGGCTTTGCAGCTTAAAACTCTCGGGGCTCATGTGTGTGTGTGTGTGTGTGTGTGTGTGTGTCCAAAATTCGGAGAGGAGAATGGAAGAGAAGGGATTGAGAAGTGGCCATCTCCCCTGAGGGGTGATTTCTCACTTTCTGTCTCTCTCTATCTCTCCAGCAGGTGCACACACCCTACAGCAAAAATCTCTCTAAAATAAATAAATAAATAAAACACAAGGGCATATGCAACTCCGAGCGAGCAGTGGCCGGGTTGTTTGCATCAGAACATTCGCCTGTACACCCACTGCTACCGATTTCACAGTTCTCTGCCGTTCTTAGCGCCAGCGGGTCGCCGACATTTTCCAGCCCCTATGACGTCATAGCACTCAGGCCCCGCACTCTAAGACAAGACGCCCGGAAAGTGCATGCGATGCTTCTTCCCAGCAGAACTTAGCTAATTGGTTCGTACCAGGGGCCGACTAGTCGCTCGGGGGGAACTCAGGGGTAATCTAGTGCATCCTGGGCGCTGGAAATGCTCTGGGATCCGATGCAGGGGCAGTGCCAATGTTGGGGAGTGGAGAGGAGGTTGCGGGTTCCTGGACGTAGGCCGAGTGGACACGGGAAGGAAAGCCGCGAGGCTCTGGTCAAGCGCTCCCGGCTGGAACATTGCGCTGCGGGACTGCAGAGCCCCCGACAGCACTTGGTCAGGGGCTGCACTCTGGCTAGATCGTCTTAGTCCCCCCACGCCCTGCGCCACGGACCGGCCTCTGCACCCGGCAGGCGGTGTCCAGCAGGGGGCGCGCGCGGACCAGGCCTGCGCCCCAGACCTACACTGACCGAGCTGCGGGAGCAATCCCCAAATTCGAAGGGTTTCAACCCTCTCCGCGCTCTCAACACTCTTGAGTCGACGAGGTCGAAATTAAAGATCGATCTGCTAAGAGCAGCACGGGGCTCCAGCCCTCCGCCCTGGGTCTGTCTGGGGTCGGGACCCCACCTGGTAAAAAATGTCAGAGTCAACATTCAGAATCGGGGGCCCCCGCGCTAATGGTGTGTAACCTTGTATCCGTCCTTTCCCGCACCCGACTTCCACACACCGGATTAGGTGCCTGTTTCTTTAACGATCAAAGACGTGGGCGGCGGCGAGGGTGGTATTTCGCTCCGACTCCCAGCCCTCCGGTAACTGTCTCGTTATTCGCATTATAACATTAGCCAGCTCCTTCCTGCGCGCCCGGCGCCGCCGGGCGAGGGGCGCGCTGGCTTCTAGCTGAGCTCGGAGGCTGAACCCGGAGACTCCGCGTCTGAGACTCCCACTCCACGCCTCAGCGGACTCCGCCCAGAGCGATTCGGGCTCCAGCCCTGCCAGGACGTGTACTGGGCTCTCCGGGGTCGAAGGCGGGGGTAAGGGGAGTCTTTCCCCCCTGGACAGGCTCGGGGAACAAAAGCGCGTGCAGAGGGTGGGAGGGAGCTGCGGGAGGCAGCGCCACGCTGGAGTGACCACAGCGCCCTTCTGGTCGCTCTCTGGGCTCCTGTCCCTCCACCAGACCCCCTGGCTTCTGGATCTTCTGCAGGAAAACCAGAGAAGGGGTCGTTGTTGACTCGCAGTTCCGCATATTCTCCGGACCCTGGCGGGGCGGGTCCCTGCAGTCCGGGAGGCTTTTCATGAATGGCTGTTCTCCCCTCCGCTCCCCAGACTCTGTTCTCCAGTTCCTTCCCCTTCCAAGTTGTCCCCCCTCCCCCCTGGCCGGCCTGTCTACTTCCCCGTCGAACACAAAAAAGAACCAGCAAAGAGGTGAACACCGGGAGGGGCCCACCATAAGCTTCGCGGAGTCAGCCTCGTCCCCGGGCGCTCCTCCCCCAGCCGCGGAAGTCCCAGGACCTGCGATCTGGGCCCGCCTCCTCGGATCCCCCTTCCCGGGCCAGGGCTCCAGGACCGCCCCTTCGGGGTTCCCAAGACCCGGCGGCAAGCCCAGGACGCCTCCCTTGCTCCGCAGACAAAGGAGGCGCTGCGGGTCCCGCCGCCCGCACCGCTCTCCAGCCCAGTCGGGTCTAAACCTCAGGCACTCACTCCCGGGCTAGAGACCCACTTTGGGCCGTCCCGGCGCAGCGTCCAGGGTGGGGCCGGGCACAGGGCTCACACCCCTTGGCCTTTCTTGAAGACACAGCCCCCCTGGGGGACCCGGCGCCCTTCCCTGGGTGGGCTGAGCGGACTCCGGGCCGAGCCGGAGGGCAGTTCTGAGTTCTGAACTCCGAGCAGAGCGGGCCGCTGGTCCCGACGCCTGGGCCGCCTGCAGCGCGGGCACAGAAGGGCGAGGGAGGCTGGGGCGTGCGCGCACGAGTCTGTTCACATTCGATTTACAAAGGCGCCTCGGAACCGGCCAGGTGGTCCCTTTAGATGCTGTGCGCCTCGCCTGTCTCTCTTCCCCACCCCCTCCCAGCTCATTAAAATGCTCAGCGCTCAAATCGGGGTATTGATCTCCGCAGAGGCCCCTAACCCGCGCCATCGACCCACAGCAAAACACGCGCGCGGCGCGAGAGTTCGCTGTGTAAGGAAAGGGACCGGGGTGTGGGCTCTGCGCGTCTCCCTGAGCCAGTATCCTCTTTGGGACAGTCACCTGAAGGTTCAGGACTGCTGTAGACTGGGCAGTCGGGCGGAAACCGGGTTTGAGCTAAATGCCTCGACATCCCCGCGCCTCCGCCTCCTTGTCGCCGAAAGAAATGTCGGACTTTCGCCAGAGATAGAGAGCGAGAGTCGGAACAGCGTTCTGCAAGTCTGCCGAGCCCGGCTGTTGTATGAGGGTGTGAGACGGCGGGTGGTGGCGGGCCACCGTGGCCTCGGGAGATCTTGGAAGGGGAGCAGTGTGTGCTTAGGCAGCTGTGAAGATATTGGGGGCAGGGGGCCATGCTCGCGCCTGTAGTCCCCAGCCCGCGGTGGAAAGAGGAGCAGACGTCTTGGAAACATCCCTGCCCATGGCACTGTCGGCTGCGAAATCGGTACTCCCTTGGCCCGGAGATAGCGAGATGAGTGAGGCCCTTGGGTGCACCCAGACAGGCTCTCCGGGGCGCAGAAAGATTCCCGCGTGATCCGCCTCACCGAGCAGTGTCACAGGCCCCCGCGCTGCCCGGTGGGCTTCAGGCGCGGGTTTGACTACAAAAGAAGAGACAAAAAGAGTTCCAGCTTAAGAGGCTGGGCGGGGACCGCGGGGGGCCGGGTAGGGGGCGCCCCTTCCCAGCCCCGCCCTGACGGTGCGTTCCTGTCTCCGGGTTAGGCTGGCTGGAGGCAGGGGGAGATGAAGGCTTGTATCTGCCCAGCTCCAGGCAAAAATGGCAGGGAGGGCGAGGCGCTCTGCTAACACTATCAATTATGCATCGTGTTGAACGAGGCTTCGGGGAGGAGGCGGCTCCAGCCGGCGCGCAGGGAAGGGTGCGCGGGAGCCTGGCTGTGCGCAGCTCGGCGGTCCCGCTCGAGGTGTGTCTGCGCCATCCGCTATATTCGCAGAGTTTAAAGGCAAAGACACGCCCCCCCCCCGCACGCCTTTTTTTCCCCCCAAATTCCTCAAAGATGGTTTGTCTCACGTGTTGCGAGGCGTAAAAGCAGCTCGCATTTAATTAGCAGTGGAGCTTCACAGGCGCTGGAGAGACGGGCGGGCGTGAGGGTGAGTGTGTGTGAATGTGTCTGTGAGAGAGGGGAGAATGGTGACTGTCCTGGGGCGAAGGTGAGCCTCTGAAATGTGTTTGAATAGAGCGGGAGCCCAGCACAAAGACAGGACTAGTCCATGATAAAAGACCATTCCAACCCCGAGGGTCAACTGGAGGGGGTGAGGGTCTGTGTGTGCTCCAGCGTGTTTGAATGTGGGGGCTCTGGTGATGAGAGCTAGTGACAGTGTCCGCTGGTGTGTAAACGTGGGGAGATGTGGTTATAGGGGTGCAGTGGGCTGGGAAGACCCAAGCTCAGGGCGATGGGCATCGGACGCCCCTTGTGACAGACGTGTCTTGGCCTCGGAGAGGCTCACTGTGGCTTTAACAAATGTCGACCATGCGGGAGGTGGGAGAGGCTAAGCGCGTGTCCGACAAGCTTGGGAGCGCGCAAGGACTCGCTCCAGTCTGCAGCCAGTGAGAAGTGGGGAGAAAACAGACACGAAAGGACTTCGGGACCAGGGGAGTCCCCAAACTTACCTGTCCCTCCCCTGTTTTCCCACGCCACAGCAGCTGATGCGGGGAGCTCCCTCGAGCTGTGCAGGCTCCCACACTGAGACTGGAGGGGAGGTTGCAGCCTAAGAGTGGCGTCCTGGGAGTCAGCCAGCCACGGTAAGCAGTGGGGACCGCCCCCGTCCTCAGTCCAGGTAGAGGAAGGTCCAGCCTTAGGTCTGGCAAGAACCGGGAGGGAGGGGCCTTCCCCGGGGGGAGCAGGCTGTCAGGTTCCCAAAAACCGGGTGTGGGAGGGGCTCTGCTAATCCTGAGGGTGCCCAGGTGGGGGTGGGGAGTTTGCATAAGCTCGTCTGTGTGTATGAAGCTAAGGTTTGATGGGGGCCCTCGGGCACCATGGAGCTTTGGGAAAAGGTGCAGAATCTTCTTTAGCTGGTGGCAGCCCTTGACCTGTTGGCTGGGGTCCTCTCCGCCCTTGGGGAGCTGCCTGAACTCCGTTAAACCCAAGGAGCACCATTAATGACCATTCCCCAGCTCACCCAGCCCAGGTGATGGGGAAGAGGACCCCCTCTCCTTAGACGGACGGTTGACAGGGACGGTTGACAGCACGGCCCTGCTTCTCCCCAGGCGGGCAGTGCAGCCCAGAGAAGGCATGTAGCTCTGCTTCCTCCCGTCCCACCCTAAGCCCCCACCCCAGTTCTCAGCATTGCTCGCTGCCTGCGGGCTGCACCTCAGTGGAAGGCTGTGTGCAGGAGCAAGGGCACGTCTGTGCTCCTGGGTGGGGGTCGCAGGTGTGAGGACCCTGTCCTCATGCCCGTCAATTCTCTGTGAACAAGGAAGGGGTTTACCCTGTAGTGGAAACATTGCGAAGACTGGGTTCAGCTGAGGGAACAATGAGGTCTCCGGGCATGTAGTGTCTGCATGCGGGTGTGTCTGTGAATGCGCTGTGGACCCGGATAGCACATCAGGTCCTGTTCACCCCTGCAGAAGCCGGCGTTGGATGGAGACGCCCAAGCGCGTGTTCGCATTGTTGTGTGCCTGTACAGGCGTGTGTGTGAGAGCGCGTGTGGGACAAAGGGCTCGTGGACAAAATAGCCTTCCCATGTATCTATTTCACTGGGTAAATGGAGGCTTAGAAACACAGAGGGGTCAATGCAGAGCCCACTGAAGACCAGCTAGCTGCAGAGCCTGCAGAGGGGCCAGCTCCAGGGTGAGGGGATGATCAGTGGGGAGAAAAAGAGCGCAGGAGGGGGCCGCTGGAAAGGGAAATCAGCACCCTGTGACAGAGCATCCATTTGAATCCCAAGACCTTTAAAGAGTTCCCATAAGGCCCAAGAGAGGCTCCTGGGCTTTGAAGGGTTTCTGGAGCCCCAGGACCTGCGCTAGACTGTTTGCCAAAACCGAGCTTGTAAGTGGAGAAATGGGCTGGTGAATCACCTCCCCTCTTCCCCTGGCTTCCATCTGCAGGAGCCGCCATGGCGCCCCTTTGGACCCTGTGGTTGGCCTGGGCGCTGCTAGGAGTGGCCAGAGCGTGCCCGGAGCCATGCGCCTGCGTGGACAAGTACGCACACCAGTTCGCCGACTGTGCCTACAAGGAGCTGCGCGAGGTGCCCGAAGGATTGCCAGCCAACGTGACCACGCTTAGCCTGTCTGCCAACAAGATCGCGGTGCTGCGGCGCGGGGCCTTCGCCGACGTCACGCAGGTCACGTCGCTGTGGCTGGCGCACAATGAAGTGCGCACCGTGGAGCCGGGAGCGCTGGCGGTGCTGAGCCAGCTCAAGAACCTGGACCTGAGTCACAACTTCATCTCCAGCTTCCCATGGAGCGACCTGCGCAACCTGAGCGCGCTGCAGCTGCTCAAAATGAACCACAATCGCCTGGGCTCGTTGCCCCGGGACGCGCTGGGTTCGCTGTCCGACCTGCGCTCCCTGCGCATCAACAACAACCGCCTGCGTTCGCTGGCGCCCGGCACCTTCGACGGGCTCAGCGCGCTGTCCCACCTGCAGCTGTATCACAATCCCTTCCACTGTAGCTGCGGGCTCTTGTGGCTGCAGGCCTGGGCCGCGAGCACGCGGGTCTCCTTACCGGAGCCCGACTCCATTGCGTGCGCCTCGCCCCCGGCGCTGCAGGGGGTGCCGGTGCACCGCCTGCCCGCCCTGCCCTGTGCACCGCCCAGCGTGCGTCTGAGCACAGAGCCGCCGCCGGAGGCGCCGGGCACGCCCCTGCGCGCAGGCTTGGCGTTCATGTTACACTGCGTGGCTGAAGGTTACCCTGCTCCCCGTCTGCAATGGCAACTTCAGATCCCTGGGGGCACCGTAATCTTGGAGCCACCGGTCTCGAGCGGGGAGGAAGACGAGGACAGGGCGGAGGAGGAGGGGAAAGGAGATGGGGACATAACGACGCAGACCGAAACCCCGATCCCGACTCCCGCGCCCGCCTGGCCCGCGCCCCCAGCCACTCCGCGCTTCCTGGCCCTCGAGAATGGCTCCCTGTCGGTGCCCCTCCTGACTGCCAAGGAGGCAGGCGTGTACACATGTCGTGCGCGCAATGAGCTGGGCGCCAACTCGACGTCAGTACGCGTGGCGGTGGCGGCAGCCGGGGCTCCGAAGCATGCTCCTGGAGCAGGAGGAGACACCGACGGGCAAGCCCCGACCTCCGAGCGCAAGTCCACAGCCAAAGGCCGGGGTAACAGCGTCCTCCCCTCCAAGCCTGAGAGCAAAGCCAAAGGCCAAGGCCCGGCCCGGGTTAGCGTCCTTGGAGAGTCAGAGGTGGGGCCAGAGGAGGAAGCGGGTGAGGAAGAAGAGGTCGAAGACCAGGCCCTTGCAGGCCCGGGGGAAGAGCAGCACTGTGGCCACGGGGACCCCTCGCGGTACGTGTCCAACCACGCGTTCAATCAGAGCGCTGAGCTGAAGCCGCATGTCTTCGAGTTGGGTGTCATCGCGCTGGATGTGGCCGAGCGCGAGGCGCGGGTGCAGCTGACGCCGCTGGCTGCGCGCTGGGGCCCTGGGCCCAGCGGAGCTGGGGGAGCGGGGCGGCCTGGGCGGCGGCCCCTGCGCCTACTCTACCTGTGTCCGGCCGGGGGCGGCCCAGCAGTGCCGTGGGCCCGCGTGGAGGAGGGCGTCAACGCATACTGGTTCCGCGGGCTGCGGCCGGGCACCAACTACTCCGTGTGCCTGGCGCTGGCGGGCGGGGCCTGCCACGTGCAGGTAGTGTTCGCCACCAAGAAGGAGCTGCCGTCGCTGCTGGTCATCGTGACAGTGAGCGTCTTCCTTCTGGTGCTGGCCACCGTGCCCCTGCTGGGCGCCGCCTGCTGCCATCTGCTGGCCAAACACCCGGGCAAGCCCTACCGTTTAATCCTGCGCCCGCAGGCCCCCGACCCCATGGAGAAGCGCATCGCGGCTGACTTTGACCCGCGCGCCTCCTACCTGGAATCCGAAAAGAGCTACGCTGCGGGCGGCGAGGCGGGTGGGGAGGAGCCGGAGGAGGCCTCGGGAGAGGGCCTTGACGAAGACGCGGAGCAGGGGGACCCAGGTGGGGACCTGCAGAGGGAGGAGAGCCTGGCGGCCTGCTCGCTGGCGGAGTCCCAGTCCAAGGCCAACCCTGAGGAGTTCGAGGCGGGCTCTGAATACAGTGACCGGCTTCCCCTGGGCGCAGAGGCAGTCAGCATCGCCCAGGAAATTAACGGCAACTACAGGCAGACGGCGGGCTGAACCCGGGCCGGCCCAGCCCGCCATCCCGCCCCCTCTGGGGTGCCTGGAGCTGGAAAACTCGGGCTGGCAGGAGGCAGCTCCGCCCCTTACCCCAACTTTAACTACTGTGCCTGCTTATCACTCCCGAGTGACTGCAGGGAACTTCTACTAGGGAGGCCGGTTCACGGCTCACATCCCGGTTCTGACCACGAACCCACCCCAACAGCACAGAGTCCCGCCTCTCCTCCCCGAACCCGTCTGCTGCCTTTGAGGCAGGATGGGGCCCCTCCATTCCGGTTGCTTCGGGCCAAGCCAGAGACCGGGCGGAAATGGGAACCTCTGCTGGCCACCCTGGGCCCTGGGCAGCCCCACCTCTGGCAGAGAGCCTGGGGGAGCGGGGTCCCGCCTCTACTCTGCCCTGCCCTGCCCTTTCAGGGTGGCACATCCCGCAGCCCAGGGGGGTTGGCATGGATCTCTAGTTTTTATTACAGTTTAGGTTTTACAGCCCCCTCCCAACTGGGAACCGAGTTCTTCTACCCCTCCCCACCCTTGCCCTACCCCACTTCGGCCCGCTGCAGCCCGGCGCGGGGCGGGGACTTTGCTGTTCTGCGTTCTGATTTTCCTCTTTTCGTTGTTTTCAAAGACAGCGACATTCCGGTCTGGTGCTAACACCCCCTTCTCAAGCTCTGGGAAGATTGGGTGTGTGTGTGGCGGGGACTGGGCTGCGGGAGGATAAGAAATCCGTTTTCTCTGGCCTCTGGACTACCTTACAGGCCTGGGACCAGGCACCTCTTTATCTCCCGGGGAGCCGGCTGAGTCTGGGGCCAATTTCGTTGATGGGCATTGGGGTTGGCGGCATTCAGGGCCTGTCACAGGCGGCTTCCCAGGCTCAGCCCGGTGGCGGAGGTCCTAGCTGCAGGGCGCCGGTGTCTGGAATGTCAATGGGGACCTGGCCGGGTCCCTCTGGGCTGGCGTCTGTGTCTGCACAAAGCCTGCGCGATCGTGCCGCGGGATCCCCGCCCCACCCCCTTCCACAAGAATAGTGTGTGGCTGGTGTGTAGTCTAGGCCAGCGTGCTCAGTAGACCTGTACAGTGTGGCGTGTAGTGTAGGGGGCAGGCGGGGGGGCA